CTTCTTTATGAACATCCCAAATTTTAAAATATTGAAATTTACTAATACAAATAATTTTGTCTTTTAAGTTCCCCTGTCTAATTCTACGATGATAAGTCATAGTATTCTTTATTTTACAACTTTTCATTTTAATATTAGAACTAATAATCGATGTTGGGTATTTAAATTCTCACTTGGAATGATCTTACAATCTTTACAATCTCGACGATCTCTTTTTATTATAAGAAAAAAATAAATTTGTGTTTTGTTAGATCCATTCTTATAAGTAATAAGATAACTCTATCTCTTTTTTTGAATAAATTTTTAGTAATAACAAAATCATGTAATCTAAAATGACTACCTTTTTCATTAGTCACTCATAGGGCTGTCAAAATGGCTCGTTGTTCGCGAATAGCTCGTGTTTGACTCGTTTTGATTTTAAAAACTACTCATCAATTATATATATATATATATTGATGAGTAGTTTTTTTTTTAAATTTAATTGACTACAAGGCTACAAAGATTTATAATCAATTAAAAGTATTAATTAAAAAAATAGAATACAATTTATTAAACTAGATTCAAATGGTGTTTTAATATAAACTATAATTTTTAATCCTTGCCCCAACCCTTAACATTTTATGGCTACGTGATTAGGGTTGTCAAAGTTGGCAAAACAACACTTTGTTCGTGAACATCTCGTGTTCGGCTCGTTAAGCAAATGAGTTGAACACGAACACACTTTTTGAGCTCGAAATATAAACGAGTCGAACACGAGCTGAGTTCGGGCTCGCTCATGTTCGTCTCGTTTACACCCCTAGTCACTCTAAAACTGTAGCCATCATGAATATTTTTTAAATCTTCTACCACTCTACCGACATGCTCATTTTAATCTTCTCAAATAAATTTTTTTTTTCTCAAGAGGGATCATTCGTATTAAGCCTTCTCGTATTAAGTCTTCTAAGTCATTCCAGAATTCATCTTTAGAACCTATATGAACCTATATCTAAACCTACTTGATAAACCTACTTGAGGAGCATAAGCACTTATAATGTTAAAAATCTTAGTATCAATTATAATCTTAAGGGCTATAAACTCTATTAATTTTTACAACATTATCTTTCAAATCATTATAGATGAAAATAAACAGCCAATTACACCTACATCATTTCAAGTGTGACTCTTATCAGAATACCAAAGTTTAAAACCTAAGTTATCAATCTCCTTTGCCTTTTTTCCAACCCATTTAGTTTCTTGAATACATAAGTTATTAATCTTTCTATGAACCATAATATCAACTAATTCCATTAATTTACTATTAAGATAACATATATTCCATGATCCTATCTTAATATTAGTTTCATTAGTTACATGAATTAATTTATTTACCCGCGTTCGTCCGTAATATGAGAACCTTTGCTTATTTGACACTAAACACGGACGCTGGTGTAGCGACCCTTACACACTTTTCACTGTATTCATGTCATACAACGCGTCGCTTCCAAGGGACACTCTAGCACATACACAATGATAAAAAAGATTCTTGTCATGATTTTTTCGACAGGTTTTACGCTAGCTGCCGTCTGACTAATGCAACCCTTCACTTTTCACATCAGAGCTTGAGACCGACAATGACAGTCTTAAGAGAAGAAAAGGAAAAATACAAACTGATTGATTTTTTTTGTTGCAATATTTGCACGTTAATTTCAAATCTTTTAATTCATCGCTCGCTAGGTCATGTTGTTCTTGGGAGTTGAATAGCTTGATTTTCAGAAATCTAAATTAAATCCGGAAATAACTCTAGCTCGACACCAATTATTTCCAATTTTCTGGACTGCAAAATAAATCCTCAAGTAAATCAAGCCTCCAAGTTCGAATATTAGGAAATGAGATCCACTGATATATAAGTTTCGAGCAAGCAAATGAGATCCATTAGAAGCTTGCTACTGAGTCGGGTTAAAAATGAGAAACTTTTTGCAACAAGCAAACCACTGCAGCAAATTCAAAAGTTTATTTTTCAATGTAAGATTAGGATTGTCTTTTGCACTTTTCTATTTTTTTTTCTCATAAAAAATCAATCTATATTTACAATTATTCTTTTTGGTGTCACACCCCAACTAACTCTTCTGGTAGGGTTAATCGTGGTGCGACGAGACTGGCAATTTGTTCAGATCAACTTTCATCAGTACTTGTCATAAATTTTATAATCACGACACACTGGATGATGAATTAATCTAACTAGATCACCACAATTTACGTGATATTTTGCATTTCATATATCTAGTTGATAGCATGAAAATTATATCATCTAAAATATTAAAATTATACAAAGCTGCTAAATCCAATATAATAAAAATACATACCCAAAATATATGTACAAGCTACCAAAGTATCGTGCAAAAACTATACAAAGACACCTCTAATTATTTGTCCTGGTGCTCGTTGCCTTTACTTGAAAGGCAACAACAATAAATGAGCAAAATGAGCTCAGAGAAATAATCAGGGTTAACATATGATTTTATACATGAAAAATAAACAACGTACATGCTCGCAGGAAACTGTGTATCTCTGCACATACAAGTAATAATATGCTAGCATGATAAAGAACATGAAAATAGAGCAGATAATATAAAAATCAAGATTGCAGTATAACATATAGGTCGTAAGCATGAAATCATAAGTATAATAAAAAGACATGTTCATAGGCAGTTTATTGTATGTAATCATAACAATTTTATTTCATAGAGGTTATGTTATAGTAATGTCACTTGTTTAATGTGTAATGTTCAACTATTTTCATGTTCTTTCATCATGGGTTGTCACCTTGCCTCAAAGGCCATATAAACTATTGAAGAAGATTGAATTTTCCCCAACATAAGAGTTCCCTAACATATGCTTTAAATATTGGTGATATCTTTAAATATTCTTTATAGCATGTTCTTTAAATATTAAATAAATATTGATCATATCTTTATTTATATGTCATACATTCAATTTGATTATATATTTGAGTAGATTCAACTAATTTTTTATTTAAGGCTTTCTTTTGTTTCAAGTTATATTTTTCGATATGTTGAGTTGCTAGAATTAAATTGCATGTTAATAATTAGATCTATAATGCTGTAACTGAGGCCATTACAGTTGTATAGTAAATGTGACATGTATTTTTTCTTTCTTGAATGCTAGTGTTCAGCGAAATTAATCTGTGCGCTGTCTTTTTTATTGTTCCTTAGGACGCATTTAGCCTGGTGGTGATTTCTGCGCTTCATAACATATCCATTACTTGCGTTATTCGTATGATTTTCCTAAATTACATGAAGATATTAGTAGGAAATTGTCTATTAAATTGTAAAAGTACATTCACAAAAAGTTGGCGATAGTCCACTATGATATTTCTGGAAGCTAAGTTTGGTGATTTTCTATGGATTCAACATTTAGGGTGGAATGAATTCATTGATTAGAGCAATCTAATAAGAATTTTTAGATATTATTCATGAGCAGTAACTTTCTCCTCTCACGCAAAGATTGCCATCCTGAGGCCCTTTTTTTTTTTTTGAGAAATTTGCTTCTAACTTCAGTTTGGCTGGCTTGATGCTACTTGTTTGCTCCAAAATCTAGTCTTCTAGTCATTGTTCAGGGTTATTTTGGTAAATTTATTTTACATTGGTATTGATTTTATGAAAGAGGTTTAATTGTATCAATCCATATTTTTGCTCACTGTTTTATTTGAAGTGAAGGAATTACTCGGTGTTTGTCTATGTTAATGTCAACTTTTTTTATATGAGAATTAGTCAAAACAAAGATGACCATGTTCCGGCTGTTCGTAACTCCTCGAATTTAGAGCTTTTCAACACAGAATAGCTAATTATTTCTGTTGCGTTACATGCAGGTTGACCTTGCTCATCTCTTGGCTGCTCGTGACCAAGAAATTCGGGCTTTATCTGCTGAGGTAATATTATCTTTTTATTTAAATTCCATGAATAAATCTAACTTTATCTTGTCACTTATTTTACTAGTTTGTTTTCCCCAAAATTTTAGGAATTTTTTCCTTTCTATATCCTCTATTTTTATTATTTTTAATTTTTGGTAGTTTTCGAGTTTTAGGAAATTGAAGATGTATAATTATTTTTTTCCTCCCAAAAAATACATGGTATCAGATCACATCTTTTCTTTTGAAATGACAACCTAATCTTGTTGAGATCATCCGTGGGTTCTATTGCGTAACTCCTACCCCTCCTGAGTTTGCTCAATACCATTGTCTTTCCTCACGATACAGTCTCAATTATAGCTAGGAAGGAAATGATTGAATCATGTATGAGAAGACAACGATTGGATTAAGGTGTTCGGAGACCCCTCACGAGACAATCATGATTAGGTCTCGCTTGGAAGGCAACGACTGGATCGAGGTGGTGAAGGACTCTCGTGATACAGTCACGATTAGTGCCAGATGGGAAGGCAACAACTTGATCGTGGCTTTCAAGCAATAGGGATTAGAGCCAGTTGGGAAGGTAACGACTGGGTCACGATATTCAAAGACATCCTTACTTCTTGTCTCCTTCCTTTGACTCCAAAAGCCGCTTCTCAATCGTAATTGGAGGCAAAAGCTTGATCGCGTCATTCAGACTTTGTGATTAGAGCCAGCTCGGAAGGCAACGACTAGATCACGACATTCAGCCTCCGTTGACGCCAGAAGCCGCTTCTTAGTGCAAGGCGAGCCAGAAGCTGCTTCTCAGTGTGAGGCGAGCCAGAAGCTGCTTCTCAATGTGAGACGATCCAGAAGCCTGCTTCTCAGTGTGAGGCGAGCCAGAAGCCGCTTCTCAGTATGAGGCTTCTTTGCGGTAGGGATTGTCTCCACAACCTATGCTTTCTACTCTCTCTCATGCTATTTTTTGTTTTTCAGCGGTTGGCTTCTTCTTGGTGTTCGACGCCATTAGAATTTGTAATTTTAGAGAAAGATGACTTCTTTTTGTTCCTCTTGTTTTCCATAAAGAAGGCTTCCGTTTCAGAGTCCATTAACCGGAGAATTGAATTGGATCAGAAGTTGGCCCAGCTGAAATAACTCGTTATTGAAATTGATTAATAAATTTTACTGTTTCTATTAGTTCTAGTAATTTGAAAACTAATTCGCCCTACCCATGGTGATGTGAGCATTGGAAAAAATTATGGCATATGATGTAGACATATTGGAAGTTTCATGATAAACCTATAAATTGGAAATCAAAATCTAAACATGAAGGTCGGGCCTATCAAGCCAATGTTGATGAAACTCAAGAGCCTTCTACAAACTTGGATACAATATCTGTCACTAAAAAACAATTAAAGCACATGTACAAGTTGTTTCAATTTCCAAAATTGTCAGACTTTATCTTGTTCTTATGTACAGAAGGTTAACTGTCTAGCCATTGCATTGTTGTGTTAACATTAATTTTATTCATTCTTGAATAATTGATTTTGGCGCAACTAATCATATGACTGATTGTTTTAAATTATTCGTCTTATGGACCTTGTGCATGCAATAAAAGAGTCAAAATTGTTGATGGTTCCCTCTCAGTAATTGTCAGTATATGAACTGTCAAACTCACCTCATTGTTAACCCTTCGTGATGTCTCCATGTTCCCAATTTGTCTTGTAATTTATTGTCCATTAGCAAGATTAATTTTGATTATCAATTTCAAGTTAATGTCTACTTTTCTTATTGTGCGTTTCAGGAATTGACCATTGGGAGGATGACTCCCAATGCTAAGGAAAATAATTGACTATTATTTTGATGATGGGCTTGATGTTAATAGGCAATCAAAATATTTGTTTAAATTTAGGTTTTGTTTCCAAATATGATGATATTATACTATGACATTATAAGTTGGGTCATCATAGTTTCCAATATTTAAACTTCTTGTTTCTAGTTTATTTCAAATTAAAAATTTGTCATCTTTTTAATGTGAAGTCAGTTAGTTTGTCAAACATCATTGTGCATCTTTGGCTTCCCACATTTACAAACTAAGTACACATTTTATTCTGATTCTTAGTAATATCAGAGGTCTTTGTAAGCACCTTACCTAGTCTGGGAAAAAAAATGATTTGTTACCTTTATTGGTAATCACACATGGTTAAGTTGAGTATATTTAATGAAAGAAATACCTGAAGTGGAAATGATTTTCAAAAAATTTTACACCACGGTACAGACACAATTTCAAAAAACTATTCAAATATCATGAAGTTATAATGGTTGAGAGTATTTTAAAAATATTTTAGGTTAATTTTTTTTTGAAAAAAAGAATAGTTCATTAAAGCTCTTCTCTTGACACCTCATAAAAAAATAGTATGGCTGAAAGAAAAAATAAACACTTATTAGAAGTAGTTCTGACATTGCTATTTACCAATTATACGCCAAAATATCTTTGAGGTGTAGTCGTCCTTACTGCTACATTTCTCAATAATAGAACATCCAACAAAGTTTTGATCTTTGAAATACCTTCATGTTGTTTTTCATAAAATTTAGCCATCAAATTGGCTTTTGTTTTCTTTGCCTTAAAGATATTTGGGTGTAATGAATTGGTTCACATTCATAGTCATAATAAGCAAAAATTGAATCCCGAGCTATAAAATGTGTGTTTGTTGGTTATGTTCCCACTCAAATGGAGCATAAATGTTTTGATCGTATTTTTAAAAATATATTTGTTTGCATGGATGCAATTTTTTTGAATTACAACCCCTTTTTTTCACCTCATCTCAGGGGGGACAAAACAAAAATTCAACTATTGATTTTGAGAGTTTCTTTAACCAAAGCTTATAAAATAATATCTACCTAACCTTGATTGTTCGAACTAAAATTTAGGCTTATATTATACCAAAAGAAAGTGGGTTGTGTTTTTTAAATATTGAAGACGGTTTAGTTCTTTCTACATAATCCTATAATAACTAACAGAGGAAACTTGAAAAATAAATACAAATCATTTGACATTGTCTACTCATAACAAAAAAACAACTTAAAAGAAAGAGTCTACAAATCATTTGTTTTGCCCAAAATCTATGAAAACCTTTTACCCCATGATCAGTTCACTTCATGTTTGAGTTTCGAGTCTTCTAGTCCTGAACCTGATACCAACCCTAATCCTAAAATCTAATGATTCCAGTCATTATATTGTTGCCTGTACGGGGGTGAGATTTTACACCCAACATTCATTGTCTCATTATATAACAATAAGAACAAAAAGCCTTTATCCCTCTAAGTGAATCTTTTTTCTCCATTGTGTGTTATTATTGAGTGTCATGTGAATAAGAACAAAAAGCCTTTATCCCTCTAAGTGGGGTCTGCTATATGAATCCTTTTTCTCCATTGTGTGTTATTATTGAGTGTCATGTTTCATTTAATTCTAATAGATTAAGATCATTGTTTATAGAATATGCTCAAGTTTTTTTTGGTCTTCCTCTGCCTTTCTTGACATAAGTTGAATCTTAAACATCTACTCTCCTAACCAAATCATGAGATGGTCAATGTTTAATGTGACCAAACCATCTATGATGATTCTCTCGTCTTGTTTGCAACTAGAGTTGTATCAACTCTTTCACGGATAGATTTGTTTCGCATTTTGTCTCTAAGTGTAAAACCACTAATCCACCTAAGCATTCTCATCTAGGAAACACTTAACTTAGTATTATGCTTCTCTTTTAAAGGACAACATTCAATGCCTTTGTTTTACCACCATCTTATAAAATTTTCTTTCAAGTCTAAGCGGTACTTTTCTATCACACAATAGGCCCGATGCATTGCTCCACTTTAACCAACCAACCTGAATTCTACTAGTAACATCCCCATCCATATAACCATCACTTGAAGAATATACATCAGATATCTAAAATGTGCGCACCTTTTAATGATTTGATCACCCATAGTTATAACTTTGCCACTATAGGTACTACCACTAAAATTACATTCCATGTATTCAGTTTTAAATCTACTCAAATGAAGGCCTTTAGACTCCAACTTAGACCCCCATAATTCAAGTTTTTTTCCTTAACTCTCATATAAAATCTCACCCATTTTTTAGGCTTTTACCGTATATTTGTCTTGTATGGAGATTTCTAATAATGTGCAAGATGTTATGAAAGTTAACTAGTGGAAGGAGGTTGTCTTTGAGGAGGTGAATGCTATGGAAAAAAATGACACATAGGAATTGGTTGATCTATCTAGAGGGAAAAAAAACTGTTAGATGCAAACGAGTGTTCACAATCAAGTATAATTCTATCATAGAAAAATATTTGTTTCCGTGATATCACATATTTTGAATTACAACCCTTTTTTTACCTCATCTTCAGGGGGGAGGGACAAAACAAAGATTCAATTACTAATTTTCAGGAGTTTCTTCAAGCCAAAACTTACAAAATAATCTCCCCAACTTTGATTGTCCAACCTGAAATTTTAAGCTATAGTATTTCAGGAGAAAGTGGGTCGAGTTTTTTATATATCGAAGACGATTTAGATCTTACTATAGTGCCGTCTTATGATGTTTATAATTCTACAACAACTAACAAAGAGGTAACATTAAAAAAAACTATGACATTGATACCGCCTGACATTATCTATCGTGACAAAGGAAAACTCAATAGAAATAGTCTACAAATCATTTACATTGCCCATAATCCATGAATCCACCAGGTAATGTCTTCACTGAGCTTTTACCTCATGATCAGTTCACTCCATCTTTGAGTTCCAAGTCTTCTAGTCTTGAACCTGAGTCTAACCCTAATCTTAAATCTAATGATTCCAATCATCACATACTGCTTGTAAGGGAGTGGGGAATTGCACCCAACATTCATTGTCTGATTATTTGTCATATAAAAATCTTTCACCCATTTTTTTGGCTTTAACCACACATTTGTCTTGTATGAAGATTCTTAATACTGTGTAGGATTTTTTGAAAGTTTCTAAGTGGAGGGTGGCCCATAATCCATGAATCCACCAGGTAATGTCTTCATTGAACTTTTACCTCATGATGTGTCCACTCTATCTTTGAGTTCCGAGTCTTCTTGTCCTAAACCTGAGTCTAACCCTTATCCTAAATCTAATGATTCCAATCATTCCATACTGCTTGTAAGGGAGTGGGGAATTGCACCTAACGTTCATTGTGTCATATAAAAATCTCTCACCCATTTTTTGGGCTTTAACCACACATTTGTTTTGTATGAAGATTCCTAATGCTGTGAAGGCTGCTCTGAAAGTTCCTAAGTGGAAGTTGGTTGTCTTCAAGGAAATGAAAGCCCTAGAAAAAAATGACGTGTGGGAATTGATTAATCTTTCTAGAGGGAAGAAAAGTGTTCACATTCAAGTATAATTTTGGGGGTTCTCTAGAATGGTACAAAGATTCAACTATTGGTTGCCAAGGAATTCACTCAGATTTATGACATTGATTACTAAAACATATTCACTAGTCACAAAACTAAACTCTGTAAGAGTTCTTTTACTTGCAGTTAATTTTGATTGACCATTACAATAGTTGGATATAAAATTGCGCTACTTAATGGAGACTTAGAGGACGAAGTGTATATGGATGCACCTTTAGGATTTAGTGAAAAGTTCGACACAAAGATGTGTACACTAAAAAAGTCATATATGGGATGAAATAGTCACCGACAACATGGTTTGAGAAATTTACACGATTTTTTTAACATAAGAATATACTCAAAAGCAAGGAGATCATATAATATTCTTCAGACATTCAAAGGATGTGAAGATAACCTTATTGATTGTGTATGTGAATGAAATAGTTCTCGCCGGAGATGACATATATGAAATGAACCGACTTTCTTCTCATCAATTTTTGGGACGAAGTACTTAGGATCCCTAAGGTATGCTCTTGGCATGGAGGTTCCTAGATCGAAGAAAGGGATTGCTCTTTCCCAACGGAAATATGTCTAGTCTTCTAAAGGGAATTGGGTGAGTAGTTATGGGCTGCATACACTCCGATTGATCCAAATCAAAAATTGGGATATGGGAAGGAAGGTGACCCAGTGAATGGTGTTGGATATCAAATGTTGGTGGAAATGTTGATATGCTTATTATATACATGATTGGATATCGCCTTTGTTGTAAGTTTGGTTTGTCAATTTATGCATTGGCCTTGAGAAACATCTTGAAGCAGTCAACATGATTCTAAAAAACCTAAAAAGTGCACCAGGTAAAGGTTTACTCTTTTAGAAGATAAATGAAGCTAATATAGAGGCATACACCGATGTAGATTAGATGGGCTTAGTTGTTGGCAGGACATTGACGTCCGTATACTGCATTTATGTCCAGGGAAATCTGGTTGCATGGCGAAGTAAGAAACAAAATGTGGTGGCAAGGAGAAGTGACAAGGCATAATATCGAGATATGATTAATGGAGTAGGTGAGTTGTTGTGGCTGAATAAAATTCTTGATGAGCTACGGATCCTAATAAGCATGCCAATGGAGCTATATAGTGACAATAAAACTGTCATAAGCATTGTTGAAAATCCAGTGCAACATGATCGCACAAAACGTGTGGATAATGATAGACACTTTATAAAAGAGAAAATTGATTGTGGAGCAATTTGCATGTCTTCCACTCTAATAACGCAAAAAATAGCAACTATCTTCATCAAAGGACTTTTCAAGGCTAGTTTTGAGTTCCTTGTAAGCAAGTTGAGCATGATAGATACCAATGATTCAACTTGAAAGCGGGGTCAGAATTTAGGATTTTCCCCTTTTGATATCTTTTTGTGAAAGCGGGGGTCAGAATTTAGGATTTTCCCCTTTTGATATCTTCTCTTTTTTTATTATTTTTTAATTGTAGTAGTTTCTAGTTTTAGAATTATATGTTATTGGTAATTTCTATGTACGTGCATAACAGTTATACATAAACATGTGCCTGTATTAATGTTGAGTTGATTTGTGTTGAATCAAATTATTTGGAGGAGTTATCTGCATGTTAGAGTATATTGATATTGAGTTGGAGTCAATAAAACTTGATTATAATTTGAGTGATATTCGAGTTGATTATTGATCAATAAAATTTGATTAAAATTTGAGTGATATTCGAGTGATTATTGAATTAGTTTTAAATATAGTTAACAACTTTATTTTAAAAGTTGTTCGCGTATAATTGAGGTGATGATCATTTGTGAAGTAAATACCAATTTGCCATAAACGATATGCTTTAGATTCTGTTAAGTAATCTTAACAAATTGACATGTTTAAAATTCTTTATTTACTCCTTTTTATATTATTAATTGGAAATCAATCACCCATTTACCTTGGTTCTATCTTTTCCTTCTTCTCGTTTTCATCCTAAAGCTCTTTTTTGTCAAATATTAGACTATATATATAATTTTTTCATAATCTGAGAAAAGCTGTCCCTTAAATTTTGCCAGATATGTAATGATACCACTAACCATTCCCTTTTCAATCGCCAAGAAGCTATTTCCATTAAATATGTGGCTGATCTTAGGTTCTAATGGTATCACAGATGAATCACGTGCACTCGGAGCTACGCCTTGCCCGCAACTTAATTGCAGAGAGAGACAATGAAATACAGCAAATTCGTGTAACCAATAATAAAGTAATTGTTTTCAATCTTTTTCTTTCGAATTATTCCACTAGTGAGCCAAACTTTGTCTCATTCTTCAATTATTGGTTTAATTGCAGTATGTCGAAGAGAACGAAAGACTGAGAGCTATATTAGGTGAATGGAGTTCTCGAGCAGCAAAGGTATGAATGAATACAGTTTTATATAATTTTTCTGTCTGGACTCAGAACATAGCTCTACATGCGGACTCTCAGTAATATATTGTCATGTGTGCTATATCGGGCCCACCTAAAAAATATTAAAGTGAGACCACGCATTCCACAATAACCTAGAAATAGCCCAAAAATAAACCCGGAATAACCTCCGCGTTGGGTTTCTCTTCAATGACCTATAAATAACACCACGGAGGTTATTTATGAGTTATTTCAGGGTTATTGTATTATAATATATGGTTTCTCTTCAATAACCTAGAAATAACTTATAAATAACTTTTGCGGTTTTATTTTGTGGTCATTGAAGTGGAACCACGGAGGTTATTTCTGGGTTATTAAAGTGGAATATATGAGTTCTTTTTCAATAACCTCGAAATAACCTTAGTGGTTTCACTTCAATAACCCCGAAATAACCTCCACGATGTGGCACTGTTGGCGGCATATTATTGGAGTCCGCATGTAGAGCTACGTTGGGAGTCCGGACAAAAAAATTTTCCCTTTAGGAGGAATAATAGTGCAATATGTCGCTGCTGCAACCTTTTCTTTCTCTTGTTTCATTTTATACCGATTTATGGTTGTTTTTTTCTTTTTCTTCTTTTTTTTAATTTAATAATACCGATTTATAGCTTGAGAGAGCACTGGAGGCGGAAAGGGTTTCAACTATGGAGCTGCAGAAGAGAATTTCAGATCAGAGATGCCACTCATCTTCTCAAGTAGGTAACGTGGGTTGAATCTTTTCTATTCAGTTTTCTATAACATATCAAGATGTATAGGTTTTGTTTTAGGGGTATTTGCAGGTTTGCATTTGTGTCCATACTTGAATATGTTCATTGATTAGTTTTTGTAAATTGATTTGTAGTAGCTCTTTTGTGGAGGATATTATGCTTCGAACGTTTTGCTTCTTTCAATTCTCATGCAGCTTGTTTGTACATAGAACAGATATATATGGTAAAATTGTTGAAAGATTTACTTACGTACCACTTAATTCCTATGTATTTACATATTTAATACTTACAATTCAATTTTTACATATATGTCATCGTGCCTATGCATGTGACGGTGTATTTCACTTTTTAAAAGTTAAATAAGTGATATTTTTTATGTGATATGAAATATTTGGGTGTAAATATAGAAAAAGTTGATGTAGATGCATATGAATTTGGTGGAATCATGTAATTGCCCCTAAATTCTTACATGATACATTATTTTCATTTATGTAACTTATGATTTGAACTTCCTTTGAAGGCTAATCACTTGCCTTTTAAGGATGTTTTGATAGATCTATAAATTATATGGAGTAAATGTGTCATGATCAGACCCAGAGCTTGAAATTAACTAAAAAAGATACAAACGATCAAACGACGACAATTAAACTTTTTTATAACATTTAATAAATAAATAAATAAAACTACTAAGAAATTAAATTAAATCAATACAATTAAATTCATCTTATTACATGTTATTTCTGTCTTCTATAAACATTTTTTTTATTATTATTGTTTAGTTTTTTTAATCAATAAATAACACCTGCAAAGCTAGTTTAAAACAACAGTTAATTAATTAAAGTTAGTAAATATTTACACATAAATTATAATATTACAAGAAAAAAGAAAATATTATGTATGTCAGTTAAGCTTTTAATAAATTACTATAAAATATTTGATAATTTATGAATATGATCACTTACAATAATTCATGTTATTCAATGGATTTTATTATATCAATATATCTATATCGTTATATCAATTAATATTCCTTTTCATTTACACAAACATTTCCTCACTAGAACTTTTCCTCACTAGAACTGTAAATAGTGGCTGCATCATAAGCGCGCGCACACAGATCATAAGCACACACACGCACGCACCCGCACGCACCCGCACTCACACGCACACACCCCCACACACACACACACCCACCCACCCACACACACACACACACAAGAGAGAGAGAGATATGTAAAGGCTTCTTCACATACATTAAGTAAAGGAATGTTAGTAGTATTTCTTTACTAGGAATATTAGGAGATTATTTACATCTTATGTTGATGTGGGCATAACCCACCCACGCACACACCCACACCCACACCCACACACCCTCACACACACACACACACACACACACACACACACACCCACACACAACATGAATTTATAGATATCAATAACTATTAATGTAATTAATTAAGAAGAAACAAAGTATTACTATAAATCTAAAAGTAAGAGTACTCACTTAACTATATATTGAAATATATATTTCA